CTGCAAGGCAAAAGACAGCAATTTAAAAAAGCAATCCAGACAACAATTTGTTTGAAACACCAATCTGAAGAAGGGTAATGTTAACATAAACAACCGTACTTCTGACCTGCATTAGAACACCATGTCTCATGTTAGTTACAAGTAAACCTTGAGCTGTTCTTGTTAAAACCACAGTTACTCAGTGGGAATAGTATCATTCCAAATCACTGCTCTTAATGTACCTACTTATTACCCAAACAACCCTGAAACGAGAGACCTGAAATTTATTGTTTTGGGTGATGCTTCCTGCTGTCAGGAGGTGGTATGTTTTGCTTAAAAGACACCTAACCACTGTTAGATTACAATTTTAGATCAAAACATTCAAGTGAATGAGACAATGAGAAAAAAATTCCATTTGGTAGCAAAACAAACTACTTTTCCTAAAATGTATTCTGATTCAAGTTAAAAAAAAAATGGTCAGGCAAACTAACAAAAGAAACATTTTAGAGAATACATAATACTCCATCCAGAATTACTGCACTGGGGATATAGCTCACAGGTAGAGCACTTGTCTAGCATGCGCAAGGCCCTGGGTTCAATCCTCAACACCTCCAAAGAAATATGCTATATAAAGAATCAGAAATTTATCAGCACTACTGATATCGTAGTATATGCCATACACTAACACCAAATAATTATTTTGTACAATATTCTCATATAACTTACACATGAGGTGATTAATAAGATGGACTAATTTGTTCTGAAACCATAGAATGAAAATTTCATAGCACTTAGAGATATTAATATATTCTAAAATGTTCCAATATTTCTGAGAATCATAGAAGGGCTAAGGAACAGACAACAGAAATGAGCACAGAGAGGGTTAAAAAAAGTTTAAAGGAAAAAAAGATCATTAAATGGAGATATGAAATAAACCTGAGGTAAATGTGGAAGCAATAACAAAATCATGAGTACAGCAGGAATACTTAAAATTTATTAATTGGGAAAAAGAAAATTACCAGTAGCTACCATATGTATGGGGCAAATACTGTACTTGCTTCTTCTATGAAAAGGAGATGAGGGTCAAGACAAATGATTCTTAAAAGGTAGGAAGGGATACCAGAAGTTCGGTGTGGCTAACACACGGGAGAAAACAATTTGGAGCCAGAGCCCGATTTAATCCAACAATATGTACTCATTCTAGTTGAGTGCTAGTTAAAGAACAAGTGCCAAGTTTATAGCATTACTGGAGAGTATTGTTACTTTTCTAATTGTTTCTTTTCTGTCCTTGGGAGTTCAATAGCCCTAATTTTTGAGGCAGCAATTTTAGGGAGCAAAATAAGACAGCTTTGGAAGACTTCCTAATAGTATACTGCAATTTAACCTATTTATCTTCCTCTTGGTAATTGTTTACAATTAGGAGTCAATATGGGTAGTGCTTCAAAAAAGCATGATTATGTTTATGTCTATTGGAACCTCCTAAAATTGAGAAAATTTGCTCAGAGTTACTTTCCAGAGAAATTGTAGCTATTTCTGCTCCTGAGGATTGAAAGGGCACATTTTATAACCCCAGCCTATCAGCATGAAATGTTACAAATTGTTTTAATTGTTGCTAATCCAATGAAAGAAAATTGTTTTATGTTTTTCGTTTGTATCCCGAAAGTGAGGTAGTGAGGTTAGTACATTTTTTAATGTCTTGTTACTCTTTTGCTTGGTTGGGGGTTTTTTTGGTACTAGGGATTGAATTTGGGTCCTTGCGCTTGTGCAGCAGGTGGCGAAATCACTGAGCTAAATCCCCGGCCTTCAAAAGTAAAAATGGACAGAAAAATGAACAAGTAGTTTATTATTTTTACTTTGAAACAATCAAATTATAAAAAGCTTTGACATCAGGGTTGTTAATCTAGTGTCATAAGTTTTATAAACATTTTCTTACAGCATCTCATTTATCTATTGATGTTTTATGGTGACTTTTCCCATACAAATAATTTTAACTTTGATTATAGGTGTTTGATTTTATTTTATGGCTTATAGGAGTCCTGTCTTATTTTAAGAAAGCTCTTCCATATTAAAGTCATAATTAATCTTCTAATCTCTCTTTTGCAGGGTAATATATACATTATATTTAAATTTTTACTCCTTCTAGGATTTTATTGGCCAATAGTACAGGATACAAGCCTAAGTTTGTATCTTTCATTTAAATAGCCAATTATTATTTTCAGTTTTGATCAATTTATAAATGAAAGTATCCTACTCCTGAAATTGAAATACCACCTTTACAACATATTAATATTCTGTTAGTTGAATTTTTTTGGATTCTCTATGTATTTTTCTCATCTTTTTTTTCTATTCTTTTATTCTTTGTAGTAACTTTGTGTTAAGTTTTACTATCTAGTATGATAAATTATCTACTCCCAGCCTTTGTTCACTTCCCCTCAATATTTTAACAATTCATGTATATTGTTCTCTTTACCAAAATTTAAATCACTTATATTCTTCAATTATATTTTTAAAATAACAGGTCCTATATCTTTCTTTAACATTTATTCTAGATACTTTATTGTTTTTGTCACCTATGTTGATTGTGCTAAGAACTTTTCAAAGCAGATTCAAGGAACTCTGCCAAAGCAGTTTAGTATTTGGCCATTGCATGTAGGCTGAATGGCTCTTGGTCGCAAGAATGGTTTTGTCTTATTTCCTGGTGCATGTGTAGTGAATAGTAAGAGGAAAGCAGGGCCATTAGCTATGATTCAGATTTTTTATGGATTCAGTTCTCAGCTAATTGAGATTAATGAGGAGTTATCAGATATGATAAACCAAATTCTTTGTTTTTTGTTTCTCAGTTTTTCAGCTTTTATTAAATAAAATACTCCTATATTTCATTTAAAATTTTATCAGCTATCAGAATGTATGATGGTCAGATTTGTTAAATACGTCTTGTAATGAAAGAAGTTTCTAAATCTCTGTTTACTCCACCTGCTTGATTTAATCAGTAGAAGTTTATTGGAGATCTTTGTTCATCAAGTGCTGTAACATTACTTTGTTATTGATTGTATTCAAAATCACCTATGCATACTGTGTGGTGGGAGAAAAGTAAATAGTACAAATAACTGAATATAATACTCAGTTCACACCAGCGCTAGGCAATTTAAATGATTAAGCTTGGGTAATCTTATGGGGAAAAATGTGTGAATGACTTTGCAGTTTTCCACTCCTGATGAGAAATGAATTCCAATTGGTCTGATTGGTGGCTAGGCTGCTGGTTGATGATACCTTTGTTGACATTTTAGCGGAAGAAATTGAAAAATTCATCAAGTCCTAGGAAAGAACCAACTAAAAATAGGCAACACATTTTTTATAAACTTGTCTATAGAGTTGTATAAAGACAATCATAAGTGTAGGTGTATATATTTACTATTTTATATTTGGGGAGGTTTTTCAGGGCAATTTGAAACGATTTAATTTTGCTTTTGGGTCAACTTGAGAATTTAACTCCTATGAAGCATGAAACTAAACTGTAGGAAGGTGACAAGAATTATGACAGACATAGGAAAATGTATGATCTAGTTTCTGCCTTGTTTGTTGTTGGTTTTGTTGTTTTGTATTGTTTTGTTTGGTGTTTTGAAGCAGGGTGTCACTATGCAGTTCAGGCTGGTTTTGAATTCATTATGTAGCCCATATGCTGGCCTGGAACTTGCAGCAATCTCCTGCCTCAGCCTCCCAAGTACTGGGAACACAGGCATGCACCACCACACCTGACTTAGTTTCTACCTTTGAAAGAACTTCACGGAGCTATATATTTAATGAGGACATAGTATAAATATGGACATTAAATAATACATTTCATGATGACACAATGGATGCTCAAATTATTACTGTGTAATTGTTGAATAGATGAACACACACTATCCAAAGATTATACTATTATTAAACCTGATTATATATCCAGAATGTCAATTTCAAATAATCTTCCATTAAAAAGAAAATTGCAGAAGTAAATTTTTATTACTTAAAAATTTCAACTGGTTATAAAGAAAAAGTCCTTTATCCTTACCACCCCTATTTTCTAATTCCATTCCCTGAGATAACTGTTCAGTTTATGAATCCTGAAAAATTTTAACCCAATATATACACACTTTAATAGGATACTATGATTATTCTAAAGCTTTTTTCATTTTAGTACTTAATGATCTTTATTATTTTAGAGCCTTCAGTGTCAATCTTTTAGATCCTAAATTTTAAGTAACCATTTCTTTATTGGTAGACACAGATTACTTTCTATTTTCCACTGTTAAAACAGTGTATCAATTGATAAATATCTCGATACTCTTCCTGTATCAGATTATCTATAAGGTAAATTCCCAGAAATCTAAGGCATCTTTCAAATTGTATTTTTTAATTTTTATTAGTACCTGTTTGCAACACCTAATGTTACATTTCTCGTGGGGAGTTGGTACATGTACATAACACATCTTCAAACTGTATTTTCGACTGGTGCTAGAGGACTGCTGTCATGGCTTGATTTGAGTGTTATTAGTTTAGGTAAATTAATGCTATTCGATGTGAGCATAATCACAGCCTTAAAGGTTGAGTTAACTTTCTCCCTTCTTCCACCAGCCCACTTAAACTCTTGTCTAATCCTTTAATTTCTTAAAGCTCCCAAATATATCCTTTCAGAAGCTTCAGACATTTGGGATCAAAAATAATATTGTTTTTGGTAAAAGAAAATAACTACTGTCCCACGAATCTCAAGGGACGGTATGGTACTGGTTTTGTAAAATGATCCCTAATTTTCAATTTGTGGCTGGATTAGGGGCGGTTGGTGTGATAGGCTTTTTGTCTTCCTTAAATAAGGGATGAAAAAAGGTTTCCAAGTCCTTACTGCCTGGCCCAGAACAAGGAGGGCGTGAAAAACCTGTGCTAATTGGAACTTGGAGAGTGTTTTTCCATTCGGGCTGCTGCTGCTGTTTACTCCAAGGCGAGGGGCGGAGTAAAAGTCTCCCCGACTGCTTTAAGCGCGCACATCCGCCCCACTCCGGGAAGGTAAGGCAACTCAGGCACGTTTCTGTCCCTGTCAGGAACAAGTGGACCCTCTCGAGAGTCACCCTGTAGAAACAGCCACCACGTCTCGGACCCCTCTGAGGACCTGAACAAAAGAAACTACAGCGAAGGGAGCCAGAGCCAGCCAGAGGCAGCCCCAGCCAAGCAGCAACAGCACAGCCCAGCCCAGCCCAATTCCAGCCCCAGCCCAGGAGGCCAACCCCACAGAGGAGGGGGCCGACGGCTCTTTCCGGATTGCGAGCGGAAGTGGGCGAATTTGAATCCTGCCAGCCGTTGGAGGCAGCGGTGCTGCGCTAGCCGCAAAAAGTGACAGGGTCGTCCTGCGGCTTAGGGCTGAGCGTGCCTTGGTGAGTAGGTGGGGACCGGCGAGAAACCGAGTATTCCAGGGCGAGAAACGGGACCGTCGGATGCAATAGCGGGTCTGGAGGCCGGACAGCCTAGCGAGGACTTCGGGGCGCCTTTTGGGGTGTCTGGGGCTGCGGCCTGGCGTGGAGACTGTGGGAAGTCGCAGGGGAGCTTCTCCCGGGCCACCGCTCCTGGCCGTCTTGGGTATCGAGGGTTGCGAGGGGAAATCAAACCTTGTTCCTTCGCTGTCTCTGAATTTTTTCCATAGTCGCAGTGTCTTGTTTCTCCCTGCTCGGCTCGAATGTTGAAGCCGATTGCGTAGAGGAATCTCGCGGCGGGCGCGTTACCACAGGTAACCGAATCTTCTTTATTAAAGATGGACGGTGGGGGAGGGCGCGGTTCCAACGCCGAGGTGCCTTGGAAGGCTCTGGAGGAGGCTTTATTATTACCCTGCACCGCAGGGGAGTGACAGTCTTTGAAATGCCTGGTGGGGATTTAAATGAAACCTGATTACCCTTTGTATTTTAAACCCGGATATTTTTCTTTTCACTGTTGACATTTTTCAAATGCCGCAAAAATCCGAGACTCTTGCTCATTTAAACTGGCTATAATAACAGCGGTGATTCGCGGGGGTCTTAGTTTGCAAACAATAGGGTTAAGGTTAGTTCCGCCGGCCTACCTTTTCACCCTCTACACTCATTGGCCAAATGGGTTCTTAGAGTCATTTTAGAAGAACTCTATGCAAGAATCCGTTTTCCTTCGGGTTTTACTGTTGTTTGTGGGGTTTTGGGGGAGTGAGGGTTCATTTTTAATACTGGACAGAACTCCCAAACCCTGTAATAAAGTCATGTCTTTTAAAATATTTTACATATGCATAAATATAAACTATCTTGCCTTATTGAAAAAATATCAGCTTCATTTTATGTTGCTTTATAGGAAAAGATATTTTAAGCTTCTTTTAAGATTTTAATACCAAGGTTTTGTACCGTATGAATGTATTCATATCTTTTTAAAAGGACTTAATAATATTCAGAATAAAAACATTCCTTAATCTATTGCTGGCTCCTCCACCACTACTAATGAGCTTTTAAAAAATTATTTGTCAGGAAGAAACAAACATTGAAATACATTTTTTCATAAAATTGCGACAAAGACATTGGCTCTCCTTTCCTAAGGATTGTATACAATCTGCTTGTTTCATATATGCCACCAGCAAGTAATAAATCTGTTGTAGATTCATTTCTACATCATAATTTGTTACTTTTCCCTACACGGGCTCTTTGAATTTTTGCTTTATCTAAATAAATGTTTCATATTTTGTTATGCGTACAGTAGGTTGAAGGTTTGTTAAATGCTGATTCCTGTACTTCAAGTCTCATAGATTCTAATCAATTGAGTAATTAATCTGCCTATTAAATTGAAAGGTTAGAAAATTCTACCAGAGTTTTAAAAACACTGACTTGGTCTTTCCTAGAAAAGTGTTGTAATATATTAAGGACATTGAACTGGAGCCAGATTGCTTTTGGTTTGAGTGCTGGCTCAGTCACCTACTAGTTAATGTGTCCCCTGTGTAAGCTATTTAACCTGTCTGTGTGTCAGTTCTCTACTTTATAATGGTGAAAACACCTACCTTGTAGGATTATTGTGAGAATTAAATGAGTTAATGTGTAAAGACTGCAACACTGATGGTATATAGTGAATGATACATATGCCTCCTAGTATGTTGAGTAAGATTGTACAAGCCATCATGTACGTTATCAATCTTCACAATATCACTTGAAGTAGTTATTTTCAGGTAAGAAAACAGGTTAAGAGAGTCAGTAATTTCGTTCTCACCCAACTAATAAAGTGCTTCAACCAAAATCAGAAACTAGATTAAAAATTTATGTCCTTTTAAAAAGTAATTCTTGCCTCTTCCAAATAAATTGCTCCATAAAAAAATCTCTAATGACTTCACATTGTCTACACTTTATAATTCAAATCTCAGCTTCTTAAATCCCTTCACAGACTGTATCCAAACTCTGCTTCCAAGCATAATAATATTCCCACACTCTTATCTGACCTGCTGATTGATGTTCCATCATAATTATTATAGTTCTGCAAATATATTTTCTATTTTTTTATTCATACTTTGCCATTTGCTTTTTAATTTCCACTTAAGATTTTACCCAGATGGTTTCTAGACTTCCTGGACAGTGCTTCTTCTTCAGTGCAAATCTGGTTATAAACATAGCACTAGATTGAGAGCTCTTGTCCTTTTCATCTTTATGTTTGCATTGCTTAGTACAAAACAGTGAGTGCCTTTATACTCTAAAATTGTGTATGCTTGATGAGTACTTGTTATTTTAACAATTTAGCGCATTGTGTTTTGAGTTAATGACTGAAAAAGTTAAAAAAGAAGCTGGGTTTTTTTCCTGAGATGATATAATACAATCCTGTGTAGTTGAATAGAGATTTTAGTGATACATAGTTAATAAACTTCAAAAATATGGAAAATAAGTATTAAAATCATAAGCTAAGAAGATATTCAATGGAGAAAAATCAGGAGGAATATTTGCTAGTATTCATGTTATTCTAAATGCTTTATAGTTCCTCAATTCTCGCAACTGTTTATTATTATCTCGACACTAACATGAAGAACAGCGGTACTAAAATACTTTTTGTTGTTTCTTAATGAGACTTTCTAAAATTAAATTTTTATTTTTATTGGCACATATTTGCAGTATATAAGAATTACATTCCTCCTGGGGAGTTGGTACAGGTACATAATGGAATGGGGAAGGAAGGAGATAGAAAACAAATTAAGTGGGTCAGGGATTTAGCTCAGTGGTGCCACCGCCTGCCTCACAAGCGCAAAGTCCCGAGTTCAATCCCTGGTACCAAAGAAAGAATTTAGTAACTTTGATTGTGTTTTGTTTTCCTTTTTGAGACAGTCTCCCTATGTAGTTCAGGTTGACCTGGAACTCACTATGTGGCACAGGTTGGCCTTGGACTCATGGTGATCCAGTCCTCCTGCCTCAGCCTTCCACATGCTGTGATCAGAGGTATGCACCACTTTGCCCAGCTCAGTAACTTTTAAATGTTTGGTTTCTCCATTGCTTCTTGGCCTTTTTGGCTATGATCAAGTTTAATATTTGGTTTCCTTTCTGTGCAGTGTTTAAACTATAAGAGTGATATATTGTTATTATTTAAAGAATAAATTTTTTCAGAGTGTGAGGGAATTAGACAAGAAAGTTTACTTTTCCTGTTTGTCGCATTCAGTTAAGACTTATCTAACCTCCTTGTTCACATTCCTTTCTATAAAAACCTGCCCAATATTGTAGGGTCATCATTCCAAAAACTAGTAAATGGGGTTAGTCTAAAGAGCACATGATACTAATATCCTATCTAGCACGCTTTCTCCAGCCAAAGTAAAATTTGAATTTGTGAAGTAGGCCTCAACCCTCAGGCCATGGACTCAGAGGAATTGGGCCACACAGCAGACCAGCAACGCTTCATCTGTATTTACCCCAGCTTCCCATCGCTCACTGAGCTCAGCTTCCTTTCAGACTACCAGTAGCATTAGATTCTCCTGGGAACATGAACCCTACTGTGAACTGTGCACGTACATGGCTTGCACTCTCCTCTGAATTATCCCAAAACACCACCCGCTTCCTACCAATGGAAAAATTGTCTTCCATAGAACTAGTGCCAAAAAGGTTGGAGACTGCTGGTCTAGACTATTCACATGATTTCATGAATTTTTAAGTTAACGTGCAAGACTTCGGAAGCAAAACTGAAAAGGTCTTTTTATAGGTTGGGATAACATTGGAATCCTAAAGAAACTTGAATAATAGGCATAGGCAGCCAATGTGCTTATATATATTTTAAGTTAATATAAGCTTAATAACTATTGCTTTTTCTTTTAATTTAAACATATGTCTTTAACTTTTAAAAACCCATTTGATAATTTAGTTTGTAAGCAATAAAATGCAGCCATTTTAAGGGTACAGTTCAAAGTTTTAGTAAATATATTGATATATATATCAGTAAATATAAATATATGTCAACTTTTAAAACCAATGGATGGCTATTTTAGGTTGCTTACCATTTTTATTTATAAGAAGTAAAGCTACTCTGGACAATTGTGGACAATAGATATATGTCTTCATTTCTCTTGGCTTCATATGTATATTTGACGTAAAATAAGTATACATTTGACATTTTTTTGGTAAAATTCACATAAAATTAACCATAGATCAGTCACATTTAGTACATTCATAATGTGTGACCGTATCTATCTAATTCAAAAACATTTTATCACCAAAAAAGAAAACTCTGCTATCTGCTGGATTTACCTATTCTGGATATTTTACATAAATGAGATTATACAATGTGTGACATTTAATATCTGTTTCCACTTAGAATAATATTTTTGAGATTCACTCATAATGTAACATTGCATTGGTCCTTTTTGTTTCTGGATTCTGCATCCATGGATTCAACCAACCAGATATTGAAAATATCTGGAAAATAACATGTCTGTTAACACACACAGACTTTTTCTTGTCATTCTATAAACAATATAGCATATTTCCGTAGTATTTATATTGTATTAGGTATTGTAAGTAATCTAGAGATGAAGTATATGGGAGGTTTAAGGTATGTTGTATGCAAACACTGTGCCATTTTAAATCATAGACTTGAGTATCCAAAGATTTTGCTACCTGCCATTTAGATAATGAGGCCTGGAACCAGTCTTCCCACAGATACTAATGGACAATTGTATTTCATTCTTTTTATTCCCATATATTCCACTGTATGTATACATCACACTTTGTATATCCATTTATCAGTTAATGGACAATTGGGTTGTTTCAATCTGTATGTTCTAGTGGTATCTTTTGTAAATAAAGCTACTGTGAATATTTGTGTACAAGTCTTTGTTTGAATACCTGTTTTTAATTCATTTGGGTATATACATAGCAGAACTGTTGGGTGATAGGGTAGTTCTGTTGAACATGTTGAGAAACTTCCAGCCTGTATTCTACAGTGGCTGAACCATTTTACATTTCCATCAATGGCATATGAAGGTTCCAAGTTTTATATCCTTACCAACACTTGTTATTTTCCTTTGCTTTCTTTCTGGGTTGTTGTGTTTCTTTGTTTGTTTGTTTGGTTGGTTGGTTGGTTGGTTTTTTGAGACAGGGTCTTGCTATGTAGTTCAGGCTGGCCTTGAACTCACTGTGGAGCCCAGGCTGGCCTCAAATTCATGGCAATCCTCCTGCCTCAACCTCCAGAGTTCTGGAATTACAGGTGTGCACCACCATACCCAGTTTCTGTTTCTTTCTTATTTTTTTTAATTATAGCTGTCCTAGTAGGCATAGAATGATGTATTGTGGTTTTAATTTGCATATCCCTATGATGATGAGCTTGTTTTTACCTGTTTATTGATCATTTGAATACTTTCTTTGGAGAAATGTTTATTTAGACATTTTTTCCATTTTTGAATTGGGTTACCTGCCTTTTTGTTGTTGAATTTTAAAATTTTCTAATAATATCCTAGATACTAAACTCTTATCAAATACACAATTTCCAAATATTTTCTTCAGTTTCATGGACTTTTCATTCTCTTAATAGTATCCTTTGATGTACAAATACTTTAGATTTTGATGAAATACAATTTATTTTCTTCTTATTACTTAGTGCTGTTGATGCCCTCTCAGAAACTGTTGCCGAGTCCAAGGTCATGAAGACTTACCCAGTATTTTTTTATAAAGTTCTGTAGTTTGGACTTTTATATTTAAATTTTTGATCCACTTTGAATTAATGTATATGGTGTGAGGTAGGGGTCAAACATTTATTTTTATGTGGCTTTCCAGTTGTCCTAGTACATTTGAAGAGACTATTATTTTTGCTTTGAATGGTCTTGGCATCCTTAGAAGCAATTAACTGTAAACATACTGTTTATTTCTGGGTTCTTTTCCATGGATTTTTTATATTTAACTTCATGCCAGTAGCATACAGTTTTAAATATAGTTTTGTTATAAGCTTTGAAAGTGGAAAGTATGAATACTTCCAACTTTTCTTTGTATTTGGAGTCCTTTGTAATTCCATATGAATTTTAGAATCAAGTTTTCTATTCCAATTAAGATTGCATCAAATCTATAGATCACTTTGGGGAGTAATGTCTTAAGAATAGAAAGTCTTTCGACTTGAACAGTCTTTTATTTAGAATTTTGTTTTTCTTTTTTTTGGGTACTGGGGATCGAACTCGGCTCCTTGTGCTTGTGAGGCAGGCAGCGGAACCACTGAGTTAAATCCCCGGCTTATTTAGAGTTCTTTAATTTCTTTCAACACAATTTATAGTTTTCTGTACCCACCTCTTGCACCTCCTTGGTTAAATTTATTACCTAGGAAGTTTTTATGCTACTGTAAATGAAATTGTTTCCATTTTTCTGGATTCTTGGTATTGTATAGAAATACAGCTGATTTGGGGGAGTTCATGTTATATCTTATAGCTTTGCTGTATTCAGTAAGTAGCTCTTGACAGTTTTTGGTGAATTCTTTAGGATATTTTGACACATAAGATCATGTCTTATGTAAATAATTACTTATTTTCAATTTAGATGTATTTTATTTCTTTCCTTGCCTCCACTAAATCTGGAAGTGGTAATAGTTGTTATCTTTGTTTTGTTCCAGATAAGTCTTTCACCATTGAGTATACTGTTGGCTATGGATTTGTTTCTATTGGTACCCTTTATCATGCTGAGGAAGCTCCCCTGTATTCCTAAATGATTATTTTTATCATGAGGGAGTATTAAATTTTGTAAAATGCCTTTCTGTATCATGAGAAAATTGAGATGAGTGTGTAACCCTTTTCCTTTAATCTGTTTGTGTATTTTACAATAATTTTCATATGTTGATCCATCTTTGCATTACTGGGATAAATCCCATTTGATTCTTATAGATAACTCTCTTAATAAGGAGGATTGAGTTTGCTGCTGTTTTGGTAAATATTTTTGTAGCTGTAGCCATAGAAGTATTGGTCTGTAGTTTTCTAAAATGTATTTATTTGACTGGTATCAGGGAATTGTTAGCTCCGTAAAATGAGTTTTATACTCCCTTCTCTTCTGTTTTTTTTGAAGGGGCTTGAGAAAGATAGGTGCCTATGTCTTGTAGGCTTCTTTTGTCAGTTTTGTTTATCTAATTTGTTTTACTCTTGATTTAATTTTGTAACATAAAACTGTTCACAGAATTTTATAATCCTTTTTATTTCTGTTAACATCTGTAGCAGTCTCTGTCATTTCTGGTTTTAGTAACCTTGAGTCTTTTTTTTTCCTTGGTCAGGTTAGCTAAAGGTTTTTCAGTTTTGTTGCTCTACTCAAGTAACTATTTCTTTGTTGTTGTTGTTGTTACCAGGGATCGAACTCAGGTCCTTGCGCTTGTGGGGCAGGCGACGGAACCACTGAGCTAAATACCCGGCACTCAAGTAGCTATTTCTTATTCCATTGGTTCTCTTATTCTTTCTAATCTTTATTCCTTCCTTTGATTACCTTTGGGCTCAGTTTGTTCTTTTTCTAGTTCCTTCAGGTATAAAGTTAGATGATTGTTTGGAGTCTTGTTTTTGTTTTGGACACTTCAAAGCTGGCCTTGAACTCTTGGCAGCCTCCCGAGTGCTAGGATATACAAATGTGGACCACCACAACCAGCTTTGGGGTCTTTTTTAAAAATGTGGACATATAGTGATGCATGCCAGTAATCCCAGCACTTGGGAGGCTGAGGCAGGAGGATCGCCATGAGTTCAGGGCCAGCCCAGGCTACCTAGTGAGTTCAAGACCAGCCTGGAAGACATAGCAAGACCTTGTCTCAAAAAAAAAAAATGTGGAATTGTGTAGGTATAAATTTCCCTCAGAGCATGGTTTTTGCCAAAGACCGTAAGTTTTAGTATAATGTGCATACGTGTGTGTGTGTGTGTGTGTGTGTGTGTGTGTGTGTGTGTGTGTTCATTTTACTGGGGATTGAACCCAAGGCTTTTGCATTGAGCTACATCCCCAACACTTTT